GTTTTTGGTTATCGGTCTTAAACAAAAAGTAAAATAGCATCCATTTATTACGAGACTCTTTGAAACCAAGCTTCTCTCCAATTCGCCCTAGCTTGAGTCTCTGGTCGGTAGAGATTGCCATTACTTGGATGGACAGCAACGCTCGCCTATTTCAAAACTCAACCAGACCATTCCATTCGCATACAGACTCCGGAAGTCATCATTACAGCCAAGGAGACCTGGGACTACTTCCGACAGTGCTGGTCCCTACTTGGATTGTATGAACAGAACCAGTGTTCCCGGATGGCTAGACCAGACAGGTCCATCGTGAGCCATAGGAATTCGTGCAACTGGTCCATCCTACTCGACAGCCCGAGACGGTTGCTGCCATAGAGACCCGCTCGGAGGTCTTGAGACTGACAATGCCAAGCCACCAGATGGAAGTTGGCTCTGTTGTTTACGCCTTTCGGCAGAGCAGATACTCCTCTTTCCAGAGGGTGTTGATCTTGATTGGACATGATCAAAGACGGTCAAACTTGTACACAATTGAGCGAGGTGTGGAATATAATTAACTTTTGTCTCATATGAGCAGCATCTTTTGATGCTCTTATATAGTTTTGGCGGCAAAGAGCATCCAATACAGCGTTTATCATGCACCAAACCGCATACGAAGACACAGTTACAAAGTGCAACTCGGTTTCAATGAAAGTTCACAAAGATCTTATCAGAAGAAGACGGCTGATTCACACTGTTCTGAAGTCGCTCGATTTTAGTATGACTTTCAAGTTGATGCAGTCCTTCAATTTTAGCGCGAAAATGTTGAGCTTTTGTCCATGACCAACTCTGGACAGATATCTTCAGATCTAGCTCCAAATTTCTCTCAAATACGTCAAGCTAATGCGAAGTCATGGAGACGAACTTGTCCTATCCTACATGCTAAACATACTCACAAGCAAAAAGACTAGAAAAAAAATGTAGATTTAGAATGATTTAGACAGTATTTTTCTTTTTAATTTATGTACTCGTATGTTTGAGTCTGTTTGTTTACTTGTGTACGTGCGTGTCTGTGTGTGTAAGTCAGGCTAAGAAACCTCCATTGCTAAGTCTGAGAAATCACAACAGAGCGTAACTTCAATCCAGGACCATCAAAGCTTAATGATCCTGGGAAAAGCATAAATGAGATAGCGTAAGCTTAGGCAAAAGACTGGTTCTAAGCCTCAATGAACATGCCAAATGACGTGGCTTCTTCTTTTGGTGGCTAATCAACCCCCCTCTCTTTAAACCCGCTAATCAAGCCTAACTAGAACCGACACAAATTTCAATACTCCCTTCTTATAGTAATTGTATTTCCTGAGTAACAACTAAACCGACAGCACGCTAGAACCATGAAACGAGAGAGTGGAGAAAACAGAAAACATGAATAGACACTTCACCACTACACAACAAAATGTACCACACATAACGCATCAATAAACACGAGTTGTGATAAGAGACTTGAAAGAAGTGTAAGCACATAAAAATCTTTGGAAATTATCAAAGGTTACTCAAGAAAGGACATCTATTCCGATTAGTTCAACTTGATCACGGCATATTGCAATCGAGGGTTCAAGAGCTTAAAGTGCACAAGAACTCAAATTGTTTAGGAGCCAGTGAACCAGTACCACTTTAACCTCCGAATTAAAACTATTTGGTACTTATTCTACCAACCTGTGCCTTTTTAGAACTTTCCGAGTTCTCCCTCTTGACCTTATGCCTTTTTTGGGCTCTAAGAAAAGAGATTCATTCTTCAGTTGAATGCTCAACCCAGCCCTTCATCAGGATCTCAAGTCCGAGTCATGTTGACCATATGAGGCTGCATAAAGAATGTACTTGTTTTTAAAATAGGTAGTTCTTGAATGAAAGTTTAGTTTTGGTTTGACATCGTCTTCCACAGATTGGCCTGAGTGGCAGAGACCTTGTGGAACATACCTAGTCCTGAGTCCTCTGTCATGGTATTCATGATAATTTACAACGTCGAATCTTTGACTTGGTATATTCCCAGACGTTTTTCCGGCAGCCCATTTGGTATTGTCAGGGAGAGACGCCAGCCTTAACACCTATCAAAGTGACAAGCGAAGACATTCGCTTCGACTAAAATTTTCAGTTCAACTGCTGTGGAATCTTTCCTCGTTAATTCGGTTGATCAAACCAACGATAAAAACCTGGCTGCATTTACTAACAAACATTTAGTTTGCCCATCTTCGTTGGCTAATGTATGCATGAACGCCATCTCAAGAGCTAATACAAATTCTTTCATACTTGGATGGCTACTTAGCAATCTGGTAGCATAAAAAAGAAAAATTGGGCAAAATTTCAATCTTCTTAATTGGAATTTATGCGAAAGTCAAGGTTATGCTGAGGATGGGTGAGAACGAACACCTATTATTCTTTTATGCAAAGGCTACTCGTTCCAGGAAGACTCTTAAGAAGGGGTTGTTCCGAAATAAATAGAATGCAGAAATTTCCAGTTTCATTATAATGATAGACTGTAGATTAGAACATTCAGGAGCGTAATCATAAAAAGCCCGTGAAGAAGAACTAGGCCGAACACATTGGCTTGACCGGCCACACGAATGACTGGAATGGAATGTAAAGACTGGCCCCATGTGGGAAAAATATAAGAAAACGGAAGATCAGAGAAGCCATGAACGTCTTATTTCAAAGAAGCCCGACGAACAGGAGATTAGATGAGAGAAAAGTAAGTGAGAATTTATCCTGGGGAAATTCGGGATTCCGCAGTAGCAGATAAAAGAAGACGTTTGTATCATGGAGATCTATTCAACAGCAGGAGGGGGATCATGTGGGACAAATAAAAGCCAGGAGAAGTCGAATGAGGCGAGAGGAGTCCACCATATTTTGTTTAGTACGATAAAGGACTGGTAATTGAATTTTCCCACAACGTTTCCATTGAATTTGATATATCCTTGCCTCTCAAAAGGCATTCTCAATCACAGGCTGAAGTGGACTGCAG